ACACATATAACATATCTATTAATATATTATTACTACATTACATATAAAACAGACATACACACACGACAATTTATCGTACCGCGTTAATCAGCTGGTCGCCCGTTCGTTTGCGCTGTGGACACGCGCGCTTGAACGGCATGTCGCGGGTAGCTGGAAAATATACTCTTGCGCAGCTGATCGCGGCTAGCCACGCCCCCAGTCGAAACTTACCTCGTACTGAACGCACGTCGCTTTCGCTAAATATATACTGTTTTATTGTTTTCGAAGCTTTTGCATCTCTTGTGATAACGCGCTTTCCTTGTGTCTATCGTTACAGTACTGTCGTGTAGTGTCTTCTGTGTACTGTTTATAAACTGAATCTCTTCAGTGCTCATAACCTTCCATTCTTCATAATTTTAATAATATAGACCGTGTTGTATTTTCGTGTGGACTAAGTGTAAATTTTAATAAACATTTAATTAGTGTGCAAGGTGTCGTATTTCATTTATTATCCGAACACCGACGGCGCCTACTCAGGTACTTACTTACCTTTACCACATTACGCTACGCGTCCGGACGACGACGCATACATACTCCAACCACACCTATACGGGAGACAACAATTCTCGTCTATACTGGTGACCCCTGAAGAACACCATAATGAGCAGCAGTGATTCTGTCGTGACCGCTGGTTCTCATGGAGGTAGCAGCGTAAAACCCCGACGAATGAAAAAAATGCGCGTTTCCACTGTACACGACAACGACATTTTGCCGTCCGACATTCGGAAGTTTAATTTGAAGGTGCCTCCGTTTTCTCCAGAGGACCCAGAAATTTGGTTTGCACTTCTAGAAGGCCAATTCGAAAACTATGGTATTATGGAGGACTACATCAAGTTCAACAATGTTATCACTAACCTTGACATTCCTCACGCGAAGGCGGTAAAGGATATCATCGTGCATCCTCCGACTAGCAATCGCTACGAGAAAATTAAGAGCGAGCTCATCAGACGTCTTTCCGCCTCCCATGAAAAGAAGGTCAAGCAATTGCTAACTCATGAAGAGTTGGGTGACCGAAAACCGTCGCAGTTTCTGAGGCATCTTATGGACCTGGCCGGACCGTCCGTTCCACATGAGTTCATCCGAACTATCTGGAGTAACCGCCTGCCGAACAGTATCCAGACGGTACTAGCATCGCAGCCTACCCATTCGCTAGAACAGCTGTCGGATCTTGCTGACCGAATACAAGAAATAACTACTCCATGCAACGTCGCAGCCACTTCAGCATGCGGGACGAGTAGTAACCAGTTCAGTGAGATCGCAGAGCTGAGGAAAATGGTGGAACGCCTCGCGCTAAGACTCGAAGACCAGACTCGCACCACAAACCGCTCCCAGAACCGTTCTCGACCTCGGTGGCGTTCGACATCTCGCAGTAGAACACGTTCCGCTTCCAACTATCGACGGTACCCCGTTTGTTGGTACCACGCAAAGTTCGGGGCTAAGGCAAGCAAATGCCAGAAGCCGTGCGACTACAATGAGTCGGGAAATGCCACAGGCAGTCGATAATGGCGACAGACGACTGCCCCAACTCTCCAGGTCGCCTCTTCGTAACTGACCGCACCACGAAAACCCAGTTTTTGGTCGACACCGGTAGCGACCTCTGCGTTTTCCCACGGACCCAGCTACGAGAGCGTCGTGCACCTACCAGTTACAAACTGACAGCAGCCAATGGATCAACCATTGACACGTATGGGTACTCGCAGCTCAACCTGGACCTTGGACTCCGACGCAACTACCCATGGAGATTTATAGTGGCTGATGTGACGAAGCCCATTATAGGTGTAGATTTTTTGTGTCACTATAACTTGATTGTAGATTGTAAGAATCGAAAATTAATTGACGACACCACTACCCTGTCTGCTCCAGCTTCACTGGCCTGTAATACTAACGATATTCTTTCTGTGAAGGTTCCGACTGGTGATTCCCACTACCACGCTTTGCTTTCGCGCGATTTCCCTGAAATTACGCGACCAGCTGGTACACAACGTACGGTAAGCCACAATACACAACACCACATTAGGACTACACCAGGGCCTCCAGTCGCTTGTGCACCTAGGCGTTTAGCACCCGAGAAACTGAAGGTGGCAAAAGCGGAATTTGAGTCCATGCTAGCTGATGGTACAGCTAGACCGTCTGATAGCCCATGGTCATCACCATTACACCTGGCACCGAAAAAAGACAACGGTTGGCGCCCTTGTGGTGACTATAGGCAACTCAACGCCCGGACTATCCCAGATAGGTATCCAGTACGTCATATACACGACTTTGCGCACAATATCACTGGTTGTAGTACGTTTAGCACCATCGACCTTGTGAAAGCCTACAACCAAATACCAGTCTGTGCCGACGATATACCAAAAACCGCGATCACCACCCCCTTTGGAATGTATGAATTCCCGTTTATGACATTTGGGCTACGAAATGCTAGCCAAACATTTCAAAGATTTGTAGATGAGATGATGCGCGGGCTAGATTTCGTGTATTGTTATTTGGACGATTTTCTCATATTTAGCAGGGACAGCATTCAGCATGAGCAGCATCTGCGCCAAGTATTTACCAGACTTAGGAACTACGGGATGGTAATCAACTTGTCCAAGTGTGTTTTTGGGGCTCCCGAGGTAACTTTTCTAGGTTACCATATCTCGGAGAGCGGAACCAAACCACTGGACGAGAAGGTACAAGCCATCAAAAACTTTCCCCCACCCAAAGACGTTAGGACGCTTAGACGGTTTTTAGGTATGGCCAATTTTTATAGGCGGTTTCTGCCTAATGCCGCCCAAACACAAGCTCCTCTTAACGCCCTACTTATGGGTTCAGTCAAAGGCTCCACTCCCATTAGCCTAAATGACGTTGCTCTGAAAGCTTTCGCAGAGACTAAGGAAAGCCTCTCCAACGCGGCACTCCTGGCACACCCAGATTGTCAGGCTAAGCTGTCGTTGGTTACAGACGCATCAGATATAGCTATAGGGGCTGTTTTGCAACAGCTGAAAAATGACACGTGGGAGCCTCTAGGTTTTTTCTCCCGTAAGCTGAGTCCATCGCAGAACAAGTACTCCCCGTATGATCGTGAACTTCTTGCAATCTACGAGGCGATCAAGTACTTTCGACATATGCTTGAAGCGAGACACTTCACGATTTATACTGATCATAAGCCAATCAGTTTTGCCTTATATTATAAATAAATATATTATATAAGTTTTATATTGTGAAGAGTAAATGTGTATGTGCATGGAATGTGGGATAAGCCCACAATACGATTTTAGGAATCATCATTTCCTTATGAACTTTGTGCTATCATGATAAGAACGACAATTTTATGATTGAACGACAAATATTTCTTATCTGTTACCATTATACAATTACCATTCTTCTCTATTCGTTGTCTACGAATGATATGTGATCGAACGAGCGACTTGTTCCATTGATACATTGAAAAACTGTCATTTAATAATATTTTCTTCGGTTGTCCCGAGTCGTGGACATAATTAGAACTGCCTTTAGGGTTTAATCTAAGCATAAACACTTATCTAAAATCTGGGACCATGAAGAAGAAAACGCAGATCAAACAGAATCAAGATACTGTTACTTTTATTTGTGTGGAAAATTAGACGGTAGTTGCACAATATCTAAATGTCAACGAATAACACCTGACTGAAGTCCGTGACCACGGAAAATCTAAAGAATTCGCAACGCTGGCAATAATAAAATCTTATTTAATGTAAATGACGGTAGGCAGCGGCTTAGCTCTGCCCCTGGCATTGCTGAGGTCCATAGGCGACGGTAACCACTCATCATCACGTGGGCCGTATGCTGGTCTGCCTACAATGGCAATAAAAATAAAAAACATTTTAAAAAATTCTTTGCATGTTCAGTTTTTAATTGAACTATTCTTTTAAAATCGATTCAGATCTCGTGCGAACAAATTGCAACTTAGTATTAAAGAACAAACATATCGATAATTATATGCTATGAATGTATTATAATTTTGACCTTCAGAACACCCTTTTGCACGATGTGGACATTCCCACGAAGAAGGCGACTTTCGGTATGGGCTGCTTCTGGTCAAACGATTCTCTTTTCGGCGCCACGCTCGGTGTGATACGCACTCGTGTGGGATACGCCGGTGGCACGACCAAGAATCCGCATTACAGAAGCATGTAAGTTAATTTCAACATTGTATCCATTTACCTTAACCTATGGAAAAATAATTACCTTGACCCATAGAAAAATAAATAAGTTTCCAGAAACTACCAATGGAATTTATTATAAGGACCTCTTGTGAGTTCGCACTGGTAGGTACCACCACCTTGCCTGTTTCTGCCGTGAAGCAGTAATGCGTTTCGGTTTGAAGGGTGGGGCAGCCGTTGTAACTATACTGAGACCTTAGAACTTATTTATATCTCAAGGTGGGTGGCGCATTTACGTTATAGATGTCTATGGGCTCCAGTAACCACTTAACACCAGGTGAGCTGTGAACTGGTCAACCCATCTAAGCAATAAAAAATTTTATCTAACCCGATAGACGTTGATCTGGCCGATTCCTCTTCTACATAAAACAGTTATTATTGTGGAATCGTCATCGATTTTAAATCTAATAGTTTCAAAATAGCTGTGGACGTTTTTTTCTAGAAAACCTGTTCTGTTTGAATAATAAATCTATTCTAGTTTAATAATATATCTGTCTTATACATTCAAGAGTAGGTAAGAACATAAATACATACTCCAAAACGCTCAAATATAAAAGTGTCAAAAACATTGTGTCAATATCTCAAATACCTAAAACAACAACAGAAGGGCACGTACGTCACAGAGGCAATTAAAATGAACTTCTATTTAGAATTCTGTATCAATTTAATGAAATTAGTGTGTTAGTTCTGATACCAATCTAACGATAAAATTCGCTTTCACTGCTTGTAATGCGCGTTAAATACATTATGGACATTTTTATTTTTATTTTTTTATTGCTTGGATGGGTGGACGAGCCCACAGCCCTCCTGTTGTTAAGTGGTTACTGGAGCCCGTAGACATATAGAACGTAAATGCGTCACCCACCTTGAGATATAAGTTCTAACGTCTCAGTACAGTTACAACGGCTGCTCCATTATTCAAACCGAAACGCATTGCTGCTTCAAGGCAGAAATAGGCAAGGTGGTGGTACCTACCCGTGCGGACTCACAAGTACATCGCTAGATACGAATGCACCGGACGTCTTATACTTTAGGCCACGACGACTTCAAAAAAATTTTATATTTTAAAGTCATTAGTTTGTAAACTATACTAGAGATTTATTTTTAAAATCCCTAGAGTTGTTTAAAAATGAGAAAATACCACAAACATTGCTGCTGTAATCTACAAATTACGTATTTCGCTCCTCGTTCGACCTTGCCGGAGTCACGTGTAACGTATAATCATCATAACACGTGTAAACAGCGAAAATAGACCCATCCGTCTAAACCAAAATAAAAAACGAAAAGCTGTTCTCAAGAAGTTCATATTAATCATCCCATTTGTTAATTTCCGGGTTCTTCAATGAAAGAAGAACATTAAATAAGTTTTTATATATTTCTAAATGTTTTGAAGTCTTCTTAGGTGTACCTTAGGGTATATCAAGAGTATATTATATCGCACCATTAGAAATGAAGTGTCCTAACTAAAAAAGACAAGACTTCTAAACGTAAAGTTATTTTACTCTAGAAAAGGACAAAGTATTCTTGCCGTAATGCAAGTGCTCACCTAAAAGGATAAAAATGGAAAAAAATAAAAAATTACAATTGCTCAATAACATTTTTGGATTTTACCAAAAATTAAGAATTTTGGATTAAGTCACTTCAATCTTAAAGGTGCGATATCCTTTTAACTTTGATTCAGAATTAGTAGAAATCAAAATTGTATTCACCGGAAAATAGTGGAAATCCAAAATTTAGAAAACTATTGTGGTATTATCCTTATCGGTCTGGTAAATAGCAGAATATAATTCCTTTCTTAAAACGGTCAAAGTCTCATCGCGTCAACTCCGACAGGTTTGATCAGTGATTACGAATATTTATTTAACTAATAGTCAAGATAATGTAGAGTTGTGTGTGTTAAAATTTCCAGCGGGGACCACACAGAAGTTATAGAGATCGATTATGATCCGAAAACTGTTACCTATGAGGAGCTTCTCGAAATGTTCTGGGCCAACCACGAGTACGGACTAACCACCAAATTAAAGAGACAGGTAAATTACTGAAGACCTTAAAGTCAACATGGGAAAATTAAGAGTTCGGATAACACACAATCAGAGAGAATTGTTGTTGCTATATTTTCCTACAGAGTTTCGTTAGATAGACCTAAGACCGAAATTTTCTAGTTCGGAACTTATATCTCATAATATAATAAATTTTTAATATTCACATAAGCCTGTTTTGATCTGAATACTCCATCGCCATGCCTTTTTGCGTGCGCTCCAGAAGTCTATGTACATACATATTATGTACATACATATATTTAAACTCTGAATCACATTGTAGATAATTTAAGAAATTTCATATTCATTGTATATAGATGTGTTGCCAACAATCATACTGGGCCGTCATTCGGCAGTCTATCCTAAAACTTTTGAACTGAAAGATCTTGCCTATAATTTAGAATGAAATAACTCATTTTTTCGATTTCATCCTTTTTTTCCTACTTTGACTTCATCCATTCCTCTTAAATTACCGATTGCTTTAAAATGGTAATGACAATGGACTCTTGTGAGCAATTGCAACCAGGTGGGCTTGCTTGTTCATTACTCAAATAAATAAATAAGTTTTTATTGATTTTCCGCATAGACGCGGGTGGACACTCTTATGACCTATCTGTTGTTAATTGGTTACCAAAACCAATAGGTATCAATCGAATGCCATTGTAGACTCTTCTTCAAATCTGTCTCAATTGTATGGAATTCATTACACTTTTTTCGGATTTAAAATTTGCTACATCATAACGCATCAGTGTGCTTAGTGAGAGTTTTTTAACTTTGTCGTTCTTGGAACAGCGCTCCTTGGCAAACGTTTCAACTACATACAAAGTTGAGTTAACTTTTACGCTATCGAGAACGTTAAAAAACTCGCACTAAGTACACAGATGCTAATACGTAAAGGAGTACTAGCGTAACATCCTACCTAATATCTCAGTTTAACGCTACGATATTATTAATTTTGTAAATTTAACGTATTACAGTATCAGTCAATGATTATGTACCACGATGATGAACAACGTTTAGTGGCTGAAGCCTCGCACAGAGCCGTGCAGAGCCGCTGTAACGAGACCTTACGCACTGAGATAGCGAAGGCTGACGTTTTCTATCCAGCTGAAGAGTGAGTTCCTCTATACATAATCAATTGCTTCCGTATTTCTCACAGAAAGTCGCTTGAGTTTATTCAAATTACAATGACTAAAAGATATAGAAAAGGTCCTTCTGCAAACGAGATTTGCGGAGATTACTTAATGGTAAGCATCGGTTTGGCTCTGCCCCTGGCATTGCTGAAATCCATGGGCGACGGCTACCACTCGCCATCAGTTGGGCCGTATGCTCGTCTACCTGCAGGGGCAATAACATATTAATAAAAAGAAACCCACTGAGTTTGGTATGGTCCTTCTGAGAACTGGACGAGGTTTTCATTTGAAAATCTACACATACGTTACGAATGTGTCTAAGTGGATGTTTTGGTTTCAATAAATTCAACGAACTAACAGCCCGTCTAGTGGTTTGTAGTTAAAGTAGTTGAAGTAAGGAAAGCCAGGGACACAGCTTAGTCGCTCACCCACCGAAATTCATTATCAAATACCGATTTGAGAGGTCGCTTTTTTTAATACCAGGTTAAAACTAAATTGCTTTTCGCATCGAACCGCTTAAACCCACTTAATATTCTATTCAAGATTTTACCTTAGTATCTCCAAATAAAACCTTTGACCTCCAAACGCGTTGGTCTAACAATATTAACGATGCCATTATGTATCCAAAGCAGGTTTCGCATATCAAATTCAATCAACACACCAAGGTAATCGTATTGCAAACTGTTTAGCTACAAAGTCATAAATATAACACATTACGTTACTGTCGTAGGCCATGTTCATACTAATTTCACTTATTAATAACAGGATCGTAGACTTCATGCCTTTTCAAAGAGACTGAACCAGAAGACAGATAGGCTTTTAGGAATTAAATATACGTAAATATACAGAACATGTAAAGAAAGTAAACGTATCTGTTATTATATTGAAAAAAAAAAACGGAAAAGTCTAGAACAAAATTCTCCTCATCAATCATAATAATAATATGTATTTCCGGCTTCGCGAAAATTGCCGATTGGATATTTCTATCTACGGAGCATTCTTTTTGTATCCACCTTATCCCACTAGGGATAGGCACAGCGAATTTTTCTATTCCATTCTCTGCTGTCAGCCGTTATCTCAACACTCACTCCTCTCTCTCTCATATCATCATTCAGACACTTCATCCATGTCTTCTTCGGTCGACCTCTTCCCCCTCTACCTTGTACTACAATTTCCATACATCTCCTAGTCACATGCATCTCCTCTCTACGCACCACATGTCCATACCGCGCTAACCATTGAGGAGCATTGAATATGAAAAAAACAATAGATAAAATATGTTGAGTTATTTTAGATAAAAAAAATACATCACAGAGCCGTCCATAAAAATTTTTGGCACTAGATGATCGTGTGAAGGGTAAGGTTAAGAAAACCGTTATTTGTTTATTTATGATCAGCTACACGACTTTGGATGCGTAATGGTGGACATTAACTATTGTAACTGATTAAAATTAGATTAAAAAGAAGAGGCCCGTCAATTTATTTGGTCGTAAACGCCGCCAAAAAATTTATTTCACTTTATTTATTCAACGAATTAATTCTTTGACAGCTACCATCAAAAATACAGACTTCAAGGCCATAAAGACTTCTGCCGCAGTATCGGGCTCGATTCCTCGAAGCTACAGACTTCTCATTTGGCCGCCAGACTCAACGGCTACCTAGTCGGTGTTGGAGGAATGAATCAATTCGACCAGGAACTACCGAAACTAGGCCTGAACGAGAAACAAGCTGAATATGTGAGAAGGGAGCTTGAACGCAACGAAGGCGGCGGTCTGGCTTGCTAATGAGATTACGAAACATGTGTAAAAAAAAAAGAAAATGCTGTAACTAATAAATATTACAAAGACATATTCTTAAAATCTAGTATTACGCCTATTTCGTTAATGTTTAATTCCAAAAAAAAATACCTATATCAAATAAAAATAACTATTATTAAATTTGATGCATGTTTGGATAACACAAAAAATCATACACCGCAAATCGTATTCTAATATTAAGCTGATAATAATTTTAATAACACTATTTAGTGATCAGCGCCTGAAAATATTAACATTTCTGGACACAGAGAAATATTTTCTATTGGTTTTACGACTGGCGCATTTTTTAACTACCGATTCTTATTATTTTTCATCAAAAGTATCTCAACCTATGTATTATAGTTGCAAATAATTAACTATTAGATCAACAAGAAAACCTCACATTAATAATCCAATTTCACCAAATTATTATTAATTTATTATTATTATTATTCTTAGTAACACCAACATAACTCGAAACATCTCTTACTCCATATGAAGCACTAACTTGTTACTTTAATATATGTTTCAATGTAAAATATAAGACTTATTTTAAATATACCATTATTATATGAATGATAGTGATTTATTACCGATTGTATGTTTTTAAGATGATTCGTTCATTTCATGTTTATCTTTTTTTTCTTCCTCTACCCAATTGCTGGTGGACTAAGAAACTATTCTAGCTACGCCCGGACGGGTAGGTGGGCTCACGGGTTCAATCTGAGAGAATTTGCTAGCCCTAGCAAGAGCAGTGCTTCGCGGAATCTAGCACCGGATCGGAATCGCCATCCACTGAGAAGATCTGACAAGAAACTCATTGGGCTGTGTCTATGGGTTAGTTCGCTCGTCAAACTCTTAACCGACCGGTGCTTGATGGTCCTAAAAGCACCGAGAGTGGATCCGAGAGATCCGACAAGACATGTTTTAGGCGACTTTGCGTTACCCCATCGCGGGTGGATAAATAATTAGCGGTGGCCACGATAAAGGGGTTTTCTTGTCGCGCCGCTTTGTCGAAGTAGGATTCTGACGCTTCCTTAAGATACTTACGTATCATCCGTGAAAAGGGCTCAGTGGGTCGCCGGCGACTGGGGTATTTCGTTAATAAACAGGCTAAACAGTAGTGTGAGGAGAGAGCGAAGCCTTGCGGGACTCTGGCCGTGATATGTCACGGGAGAGAGCGAGTTCCATCGACTCGATACCGAAACAAATTATTCGACAAGAAGTCTGGTATGATGAGCATGCGACTGTCTGGCACATCCATGCTATAACAGTTTCTAAATGAAACCGTTGTGCCAAACTTTGTCAAACGCCTTCGCCATATGGTGGTACTCTTGTGAGTCCGCGTGGGTAGCTACCACCACCCTGCCTATTTCTGCCGTGAAGCAGTAATGCGTTTCGGTTTGAAGTGTGGGGCAGCTGCTATAACTATACTTGAGACCTTAGAACTTATATCTCATGGTGGGTGGCGCATTTACGTTGTAGATGTCTATGGGCTTCAGTAACCACTTAACACCAGGTGGGCCGTGAGCTCGTCCACACATCTAAGCAATAAATAAATATTTATTTATCTTATCGAAGAAGAGGGCTCCCGTGGGGATGGTTCTGCGTCTCTTTAGCCCTACTAAGATGTGCTCCGTGAGGCGGTGCACTTGATGAATGCACGCGTGTTTCGCGCGGAATCCAAACTGTTCGTCGATCAGGATGCTTTTCGAGCTGATGAGGTCCCAGATGCGTTTGCGTAATTGTCTCAGGATGCCTTTCGAGCTGATGCGTTTGCGTAATTGTCGCTCGTATAAGTAATTTGCCTAACATTGCCATTAGGCTGATCGGGCGGTATGAGGACATAAAAGCACCGAGAGTAGATGGGGAGATTCCGATAGGAGTTGGCAGAGTCCAATTAGAATCTGGAGGATAATAGAAAGTTTTTGCCATTGTAGCGCCCACCACCGGAGCAGACTTCATCCACATTATCTAGAATCACTAGCCACAATCGTACGTCCTTGGAACTTACTACATATTAAAAGGCTAACGTGTTTTGTTTTCGGACGAGTCAATGGTAGATTCGCTGCCGATTTTAAGACCCCTGCTGACTTCACTGAAAAATGAAGCGCGAATATCTTAACTATGTCATTTTATACGAGTAGTATGACATATAAAGCTTTATTTGGATTTGAATTAGATTTATAAAATGGCAGATGCTAGAAAATTTCGATTTACTTCTGATTGCAGTGGTGAAAATCTTTTAGATGTATTCGAAGGTAGCGCCATATTTATTTAGACAAAATCCATAATCAAATAATAATAATCAAAGGTTTCTAACTCCTATACGAATTTGAAATGATATAAGAATGTAACTTAACTTAATAATAAACTAGTAATATAATGATCACTTCACCATATTCTAAATGTCGTACAAATCGGTGATGGGTTATTAATCTTGCGTCAAGGCTAATTGTATTTCGCAGGGCAAGACGCTACTGATGTTCATTAGCACTGAAATTGATTAGCACTGAAGCCACTACGTGTTACATAAGTAATTTATTTATGGCGGCACGGAACAATAAATTGCAGCTAAGTGAAAGTTTATCAATTATTCTTGTTATATTATGCGATACACGAGAATGGATAAATCAAGATGTCTCTCGCTAATATCTCATCGTTTATCAGTTGTCTCTTTGAAGAGGGTTCGTCACAACTCCAAGTTTTTCTTCTTGCTGTCAAAAGATATTCCAAAACAAGTTAATATACACTAAAAACAATAATCATCGAAATCAACAATTGGCGTGATATTGAGTTATTTGTCGCGCACGTAGGTACTTAATGCAAATTTAAGACTTATATGTTTTTCTCACGGATACCATTATTAGAACAGAACTAAATTGTAATGGGACCACACGGGAAGTGTCAGCTTTCTAATAAAAAAAGAATCATCAAAATCGATTAACCCCAGTCAAAAGCTATGAGGTAACAAACATAAAAAAAACATATAGTCGAATTGAGAACCTCCTCCTTTTTTGAAGTCGCTTAAAAAGATAACATACGTAGTTGGAAACAAGTTGCACTATTCGTTACTCATAAAAAGTATGTATCCTTATATGTGAGCGCTATCAATCAATCGATCAATCAGGTTTCTAAAACAGAACAAGATCGGGGAAGTCCTTGCAGACAGGAGCCTTGTTTGAGCACGATTTGAAAACATCCGCATGCAATGTACGATAAAAATCTTTACTTTTAATTGTCGATTTCCGATTAAGCTGAAGGTAATCGATTACTAACATTAGCTTAGGAGGTCTGTTCATCTGTTTCTCTTTACGACAAAATAAGGAGGAGAATATGACTTCGTTTCAGTGGAGAATATATTAATTTTTATAAATGAAGCGAAAATTCCTGGACATTATGTGACAATGACATAATATGTACGTACAGGTAGACTAAATGAAATTGCAAGGTTATTTTACCATTTATTTATTTTTTCATTTTATTTATATTTAACCAGGATTAAATTTAAATACAATTTTGTAGAATATACGCTGCGTTCCTTTAATATATAGATTTTAAGTTTAGACTTATCTGTAGGCACAGTATGGTTTATCAAGTCCAACACAATCAAAATCTAAAATTAGCTAATTAAAACTGAATATCTCTAGGTGCGTTTGTTTATCTGTAGATATTCGCGCGTCATTTACCCGTTTGAGTTGAAACTTATTACATTTATTGTTAGCACTTCGGGAATGTTTTTGGCATAGTATCATCAACATTCGATAGATCGCGCGAATAAATTTAAACATTCTGTAGATTACCTACAGATTTATCGATAGAGATTCTGAGTTTCGCAATTCGGGTAAGATAACAATCAAAACTAGACTTTATAGCGCTTAAATCTTACGTATAATTTTAGATTAAAATTCTTTGGCCCTCTTCCGATCTCACAGCTTCGATGGGAAATGTTTATCATTGTTGATTTTGAACCGAAAATTGTAGCTGAAATTGAGTATTAAATTTTTAACAATAATGGTGACGGAAAAGCTTGGCAGATTGTCGTTAGTTTAAAAAGAAACCTTTATAAATTTTAATTGATATTTGAACAACCTATGAAAACGAAAGTGCCGATGCCGACAATCAGAAAGTGTTGGAACCCGTCGGTTCTTGACTCCGTTCTACCTGCGCCTCTACTGAGAGACAATCATGTACGGTTGGAAGGACGAGACATATCATACCATACAATTGACGCTTTAGGCTCGTATCTCGAGGTGCGTTGCAGAGTTCCCCTGGAAATATCTTTAAGCTTATCCTTGGGCCCGAGGTCTGCTCTCAACATCTGCAGACCGTCTAGTCCTACATACCCTATGTGTCTCTTAGACCCGGACACTTCGAAAGAGTTTCGACGTTCTACCCGAAAATAAAATCTATTCTTCTATCTATGCTTATAAATTCTTTCCTTACATCAACAGCTATAAATAAATAAATGAAATTTCCAGACTTTTCCGTGTTCCGAATGCTTCTTTTGATACTTTCGAACTCACCGTCATCCAATCCACCTTGCATCAATAGTCCCAGCGCCGTACGTATGGGTAATTTCGGTATTTTGAGGGGATTTTAAAGAAAAAAAAACTTTATGTTAATCTAGGGTTGATGTTCAGTCTTTATGTGATATTAGGCACAGTTTCAAGGGTCTGCTGTCGCGTATTTTCTCAACAAAGTATGGTTGTATGTAGCTTAAAAGTCTTCCAATGCGCATTTAATTACAACAATTACTGTGTTGAAGATGAATCCGACAATCTGTTGGACGGTTTTTGATGTTCTTTTTGTGTTTGTTTATTCAGGTTCCTAGATAGCTTGGATTTACATGTAGAGGAGTATTGGACGTTACGATCCGCTACAAGAAGTTCAGGATTTTTTCTCTATGCCTTCACGAGAGAACGTCTGTATGGCCCGTTAGTTAAAAATAAAATAAAAAAATCCGTTTCTATTTGATAGCGATAATTACGGTACATATATTGAAATAAGCCCTAAGTCATTATTGTAAACAACGGAAGCTTGTGGAATGCGGTCATAGATATTTTCATTCCCAAAGAATTTACTGGAAACAGACGAGAATAGACGTATTTACCATATGTCTCAGTGAAATCCCACTTCCAAGCAGGGCATTTTAAAGGGCAGACAGTAAGTAGATAAAGTTGAATCTTCAAAGAAATCGACCGAATATGAATCGCTATAAGGCACCTTTTCATCTTATACCTTTAAACGAGCAATTCTTGTATATTAATATATATGTATATAATCCGAATCTCGGAAACGGCTCCAACGATTTTCATAAAATTTAGTATACGGGGGATTTCGGAGGCGATAAATCGATCTAGCTACGATTTATTTTCAGAAAATGTTGTTTTATTCGTGTTTTCAATAATCAACTCTTTCCGACATCTATTGGCGAATAATAATACTATTTTTCTTAATTGAGGGCAACTAACCGCTTTAAAGACACAACAAGATGGCGTTATCAAAAAAAAACCATCATCTATTAGTTAATAATACGCTACTAATTTGCTCAAACCAAGTAATGTTTTGGTACTTTCATTTACGTGAGCGCGCATACAACATTCGGGTATTACCTACTAAAATTGTTTATTTACACTTTATTTAACAGAAACGCCCGAGAAAAACGATGTTTTTATAATAAACATGTATGTAATTGAAAATAATAAAACACGAATTTCATCTTAAACAACTCATTACTTTATTGACTTTTAAATAAATAACAAAATATCTTCCATTGCTCATCCTATCACATTCCGAATTCTAAGCTCTAGAACTTAAATCTTATATTTACATAGCTATTAACTTACAATTAGTCAAATGTTAGGTGAAGCTTAACGATATAGTCCCTTTATCGACTACTTTTCTTTGAACTCACCTTGAAATATCGATAAGTTTTTCATGAGACCAATGGATCGTATTTTATTAATAAAAATACAGATATATTGAATAAAACGTGAGAATTAAAGTTAAACATTTTTTGTGCAGAATTACGTTGTTTTATGGTATAATTATGGTATATATATATATATATACATATATATATATTATACATATTCAGTTCAAATGTTTGAAAAAAAACTGTTGTCCATTGAATTTTATTTTATTTAACATAAAATTTTATTTACCAATAAAACAATTTGTTTTTTTAACTTAATAGGACAATCATAATATGCTTTTCGATTATTAAAATCTTAAAATTGAGATAAATTCCATATACATACAATTGTTAACTATAAAAGGTGTGTACGCAATAACCTATTTAAACTGCAGGTTAACATCGAAAATTATAAATTGTTAAAAATACATTTAACCTTAGAATCCTAAAATAAACTACATTAGTTACTCTACTTCAATCACAGTCTCTTTTAGGAAATATTAATATTATATTTATTAGCTGAATCACGTTGGGTTCAATGTATTTTGTTTTTTATTCATATATTTTTGTTCTTCTTACAATCGATCACAAAATCGTTTGATAAATTAAACACAAAATTTGTAGATGCCGTTAATGTTTAGTTATGATGATATTACTTATTTTTTTGTTATATTTTAACTGCAAATATATTCTATTTTTGTCTAAATTTAAAATGATATGGTTTTGATTAACATTTTACGTGGACTTCAATTTCAAAGCCGTTCCCGTTCACGAGCAAATCAATTTTTCATAGAAATTAATTCTATTCGTCCTTAAATATTGATGAAAGGATATTATTATACATTCCGACGTACGACCCGGACAATAGCACGCAAAACGAGAAGCCATCTCGCTGCGAATCATCAATATAAAAAATGCAATATTTTGTGCGTTTTTATGTAAACGACAACATATTTAGTCCAAATACTAAAAAATATCCCTGACGTGATATCGATCTAGCTAGCGAACTAGATTGCACAGCCTCCTCAATCAGATCTATCGCCTTACAGTATTCTCATGGAATCCGAATGCTTTATAATGTTCTGACCTAAGCAAATCAATTTTTTTGGTGATTCGCAGTAGTCGCTCGAGTCAGACGAATCCGTCAATAGGAACCTTGAGGCGGTCCTTCTGGTGCGTGTGTCCGAGTCGTACGTTAGCAGGATGTGGTTACTGCCCCTCCGCGAGCGGTAGGACAGTCTGTGTGGGGTGCTATTCTGGACGTCGGACATCGATCTGATGTGCCTCTTGAACTTCATTTCCTTTGTTAGCGGCGAGAACGTCAACTGAAGCTCGTTCTTTGGCTTCTCTACAGATCTGAAGAAAGAAAAAAATATTTCATTAGTACATGATTGAGGAGTTGAGATTTTAACGAAACGAAATTCGCTTTTATGAAAGTAAGCGCTAATGAAATAACCGCATCAAGTTTTATCGCAATCAGAGAACAAAGACACACATTGTGCAATGAGACTTAAACTGTATGTCTAATATTTATAGTAATAAGGGAAAATTAATGTTTAATCCATTAGACCAGTGAAATGCAGGCTGGTTCTGCTGTAAGTATTGTTGAAAATATGAAATAAATACGCCACCTATCGTACGTCGATGGTACTAACAGAAAAATCTCTGAAGTGTAAAAAATTGTTTTTTTTTATTTATTTCTTAGATGGGTGGAAGAGCTCACAGCCCACCTGGTGTTAAGTTGTTAGTGGAGCCCATAGACATTTACAACGTAAATGCGCCACCCAACTTGAGATATAAGTTCTAAAGTCTCAGTATAATTACAACGGCTGCCCCACCCTTCAAGCCGAAACGCATTACTGCTTCACAACAGAAACAGGCGGAGTGGTGGTACCTACCCGTGCGGACTCACATGAGGTCCTACCACCAGTAATTACGCAAATTATAATTTTGCGGGTTTGATTTTTACTACACGATGTTATTCCTTCACCGTGGAAGTCGATCGTGAACATTTGCTAAGTACGTATTTCATTAGAAAAATTGGTACCCGCCTGCGGGATTCGAACACCGGTGCATCGTTAGATACGAATGCACCGGACGTCTTATCCTTTAGGCCACGACGACTTTGATTAATTTTAATCCGTTACAATAGTTAATGTCTACCATTACGCATCCAATCGGATGACTGGTTTAAAAATGAATTGAGGATAAGCATACAAAGTAACATTAATTGTGGTTCATAAAGAAAATACATTAAAAGATAAGACTCGTAAAACGCTTTGTTTAAAAAAGCTGTTAAAAGAGCTCTTTATTGAAATACGATCAAACAAACAAAGTCACAAATATTCTCAGTTCATATATTCATTGGGAAAAAAAATCATTTTTATTGGTTACTGGAATTTCAAGTTTGGAAACAAAAAAAAACATAATCGTTAACAATATTATTAAAAAAAAAAAACAAAAAGCAATTCTAGACGTTTCTACCAGTTTATTGGCATCCCGACAACGAAGGTTTTACTGTCGGAAAAGTTTATTTGTTGATACTTCATGATAAGGAACACACTTGATCCTACGTATACCAACATTTGTAGTTTCGCTTTATGATTGTCTTGGCTGGGAATTTTTTTCATTCGTAGATAAAATCGGTGTCACAAGACAGACAGAGCAAACATTTGGATCAACTATAAATAGGTTTGTTAGCGCACACACCTACTTTAATATTGTTTCCATTCTCCTTTCGTATCGCATACTTATCATTGTAATGACTCTGCAAAGTATTCAGACAATGAGAGTATGCCGCTAGTACTAAGCCAATAACTCTAATTATTCAAAATCACAACTTTCTCAGATAATACTTTAAATTAAGTGTAATATTGTTTTATACGAATAAGACAGCTAAATGAGGTCAATAACATTTAGATTATAAATAGATTATGTATTAGCCTCAGTGTTCAGAGATATAGTGTAGTACGCAAGAACATATAATTCTATAGATTATTATGCGCTTAATATCAGTATCGATTGAGCTTCACAACATGTTATTCTACAACGCGTTGTACCCACGCAAATACGCATTAAATTATTTAAATTTGAAGTGATTACGTATAAATGGTCTGATACAGACTATTTATCCAATTTCGCGAGTTAAATTGTCTCTGGTTGTCAAATTATTTTTACGCAGTGGCATATTTTTTTACTGCCTACTGGAGTTTGACACATTTATGTCTGATTTATATTACACTAGCGACCCGCCTTCGCTTCGCTTCGGAAATTGTAATTTATTATTAATTTCTTCACTATTTAATGGATCTTATTATACATATAAACCTTCCTCTTCAATCACTCTATCTATTAAAAAAAACCGCATCAAAATCCGTTGCGTAGTTTTAAAGATTTAAGCATACAAAGGGATGTAGGGACAGAGAAAGCACTTTGTAGTGATGTAGTGATGATGTTACTGCGAATCTTAAAGTAAGATTAAAGCTTCAAACGCATCGGTACAAAGCTTTTAAGTTTTCAGATATTGGCTCGCGGAGGTAGACAAGATGGTGGCTTCTGCGTATTTAGAGTAGTATTATGTGACACATTGCCAATTATTGCGATATTGATTTTGGGGATTACGAATTAGGTACGTAGTAGCTGTAACTCGAACTCGTATCTCCAGTTTATTGGACAAAAAAATTATAATGATTACGATATCCCGATACAAACGAATTAAAGATTTATTATATGTATTCATGTTACATTAGAATTGTGGTTACGTAATGTCCGGCACAAATTGTAATACTGTAACGCTTTTTATTTGTTATTCAAAATATGGCGCGAAATAGATTCTGACGTTTCTAGAGAAATGAGGTTGAAGTTTTAATTTATGGCTGTCATAACCCTCAAACTGGAATGCACGTCTTGTGACAGAAATAGGGAGAATACTAGTGATATGTGTGCGGGCTAATAAACACCAGTATTTACGTAAATTATATGTTTTTGCGGGTTTCATTTTCTACCCAATATTAGTCGTTACTCCTTAGAGTTGTTCGTGAACACGTGCTATGTGCATATCTACAATCAATAAATTAATTACAACCTGTCTACGAAATTCGAAGTCGGACTAGTCGCACCCGTTACACCTAAACATTCGACGTACCTAGATAATGTCACCGCAATATGTTATTACAAATATTGTTCTCACATAAACACGAATTAATTCTCATAAAATGTGTTAAAATGGCTAAATATAAAAACATGTCTAGCGAAAACAGTATTTAGCGCTCAATAGAATGTTTGTTATGCACGTGTTTTTTTTCCTACCTTAGCTGATAGCCTTGAGAGACTATTTCAGCGTCTTCTTGGCCTGTAGGTGAGCTCACGGGGCTCAAACCTGACGACGTTACTAACACGAACCCTAGCAAGAGCAGTGCTTCGCAGAATCTGCCACCGGATCGGAAACGCGACCCACTGAGAATATCCGGCGAGAAACTCAGTGGGCTGTGTCTATGGGTTAATTCACTCGTCATTCTCTTCGTCGCGAGCGACGGGTTCGACGCGGTTGTGGTACCTAAAAACACCGTTAATGGATCGTGAGGATCCGTAATGAAAGCACATGCAAGAACACCACATCCACAACGATTCTAAATTCAAATTCAAATTTACTATAGCTTAAAGTGATCGTTTCCTTTTTATTTAAAAAAATATAATAAGTAGAATGCCTTATCCGCAACTTGAGTATAAATCTTATAAATATTTATTCTGACATATCTTTATAAACATAACGTATAAACGAAGGGAAATACATTCTCCACAAATTTAAATATCCAAACCTATTTTAAATTTTTATTTGAAGCTAAATATACAAATTATATGCCACAACAAATACATATAATGATAAATGTTTGATAAGGGATCTCCTTCATGACGTTGGCAACGTATAACTTTTTTAATACGCTTTTATATTAGCTTCAGACCTATGTATGTTAGAGGTCACTAGAATAGGTAGAATAAAAAATAAAATAAAATAAAACCTACTAACTACCTACTAATCAGTGACAAAACGACGTCAAGCAAAATAAGATATCTCTCATTCTGTAGCGAGAGTAAATTAGAACAACATATATTAGCTTCAGACGTAGGTATGTATGTTAGAGGTAACTAGAATAGGTAGGATAAAAAATAAAATAAAAATAAAACTACTAACTACCTACTAATCAGTGACAAAACGACGTCAAGCAAAATAATATATCTCTCATTCTGTAGCGAGAGTAAATTAGAACAACATATATTAGCTTCAGACGTAGGTATGTATGTTAGAGGTAACTAGAATAGGTAGGATAAAAAATAAAATAAAAATAAAACTACTAACTACCTACTAATCAGTGACAAAACGACATCAAGCAAAATAATATATCTCTCATTCTGTAGCGAGAGTAAATTAGAATAACATTAAAGCCTAAATAAATAATCAGACAGATTTGCATTATTTAATCAAAGAATTTGGGTTACGTATATGAATAATAATATATATCTTTTTGTTTTGTTTCAGTATTATAACGACGTAAATACAAAAAGAGCACGTGCGGAATAAACCACTTCTGCAGTGGTAATATCGATTAAATTTAAAAGCCGGCTAATGTTAAATATTTAAATATGCATATCTGTTATTAATATGCAACGCGACTTAGTTACCTAATCTTTGTTATTCTTCGTAACTCAAGATTTCAAATACTGGACTATCAATTATGAAACATTATTAAAAACAATTTTTTGATTGACTCGATGATGCAATAGTTAGCGCGGAGACTGTTGCGCCAAGGTTTGTGGGTTCATTTCCCACATCATGAAAACATTCATGTGATGGAAGCGGATTATTTGCTTTTTGTCTGAGTGTTTATTATTTACATATGTATCTATGTCTTTTTTTTTTTTTTTATTGCTTAGATGGTTGGACGAGCTCACAGCCCACCTGGTGTTAAGTGGTTACTGGAGCCCATAGACATCTACAACGTAGACGCGCCACTTACCTTGAGATACAAGTTCTAGTCTCAGTATAGTTACAACGGCTGCCCCACCCTTCAAACCGAAACGCATTACTGCTTCACGGCAGAAATAGGCAGGGGGGTGGTACCTACCCGTGCGGACTCACAAGTGGTCCTACCACCAGTAAATGTCTATACTAATATATAAATCTGCAGTGGTTTTTACGGATGCTCCGTTATAACTACTGAACCATGCATCCGATTGACTTGAAACTTGGTATCCATGTAGAAATTACATGTACTTAATGGATAGGCTAATATTTATATGAGTGTTGGACTCCCTAATAATAATGACAATAAATTTAAACGCATATAAGAATTTATGTC